CCTTTTTTAATTGGAATATTATAATATACGTGTAAAAATCTTTTGAGTTTTGGTAGATTTAGGTTTGCATACCAAAATTTTCAAGGATTAAAATATTTATCTTTATATAAATTAATAAAAGCTCTTTCGATCTTTATCACCAAACACTTTAAAACTTTAACATTTTCGTAGTATGCTAAAAAAAGATATAGATCTTCTGTCTTTATAATCTCTCCCTCTCTCCGTGACATAATCATGGGAGACGAAGCATTATTTCCCGAACCTGTTTATCTATGGTCTAAACTTAAACGAAAAAAGAATTGGGTGGTCTTCCTTTGCATAGTCGGGACCTTGGTCGGCATCTCCTTGTTCATTGGTTTCATCTACTTCTTAGAAGTATAAAACCAAAAAATATATAATGAAGAACAAAATTATGTCCCCGATATAACAGTAACTTCTATGGATTTGACGGTGTTTAATATAACCGAGACTTGTCTTAGCCTAAAAGGAAATTTAGTTATCAGGATCCCTGTTGATCTTCCTGATTATTATATGTGTCTCAAAGGAGATTTTCAGGTTTTCATACTTTACAAAGGTGTTACATAGAGAGGTTGGTTACACTTTTTGATTATTTAACTTTATTTCGTTATTATTTCAAAACAAATTAATTTGTTATTACTATTCACATATTTTTTTGTTTCGAAAACTAATTAGATTTTTCACGATCCATCAGTTGCAATGTCATACCACGATGGGCTCAGCTGCTTAATGTTTCATCGATTGCTTCTAAGGGAGATATAGATGGTCTGATTGTGAAAGGTATTATGGAGGATATTAAAGAAAGAGGTGAAATACGGTTCGGATCGCGATTGATTCTTACGGATTGCATATATGGACCAACGGAAAGATGAACTATGCGTGTGAAGAAGACACGTTACGGTTTGAGCCCGAATCTCAGAGAAATGCAACTTTGGTTGGAATCAATGTCCCTACTTGCCACTATGTTCGCTAAGTGTTTTACATCAATTGCTTTCTTCTTGTTTAGTTTTCCAATGTTACCTTCTTCTTTTGGGGTTTTTGATATGAAACATATATCTTGTTTATTGGGATTTAAATTCAGACCAAAAAAGCATGCCATTCGATATCTAGTTGATTACGTACTAGTATATGCATAAATAGAAATTTAAATCCAGCATTAATATTTAACATTCATATGCTAAATCGAACATATCCTTAGTATTCTTTAGTGTCTTACGTCTTTTGTCAGTGTCTCATATTTCTAGATTTGAATCCAAACTTTTTTAGTGATGGGCTTAAACTCTGAATTAGCTCGTGGACCCAAAGTGACAACGAAACAATATATTCAGATATGATAGGAGCGACTACTTATCCTCGCTATCAGTTAATCAAATATCACGATTCACGAGTCACATGGCTCATTCAATACATTGTTTGTACTTTGTAATTTTGTTTAAACGTGTTTGTTTCCAAATCAGGTAAGTATTTTTTGTTGATAGTGGAGATTGGAGAAGATTATAGACCCAAATGCAAAACTTCTTGGAGAAATAAAATTTGTTAAAGAGTTTAAAGTTGAATAAAACCTAAAGTAGTCAAAACTTGAATATATTCTTAATTCCTTTTCTTCCAAGAAAAATGAAATTTTACTGCATCCAAAATAGTCCGACGAAGTTAATTCTTGAATAGCATCGGTTTGGGTGAGTAAGTTCGTAAAATACAATATTTGCTTATAATTTAGAGTTAAATCGCGTTTCAAGCAAAACTCACGTGAAGTTTGTAAACTCACACTTGTACTAGCTAGTCTAATGTTTTAGAATCAGAATAAATAATCAAATTGGTATAGGTCAATTAATGAATGTAATTAAAAAAATCGAGTGTGTTTTATAGTATGAAGTTGGCTTTAGAAATCACGAAGCGGTCCAACCCCGTAATATTCAAATACACAAAGCCATGATGATGCATCTTATATTTTGTTTTAGATAATAAACGTCAATAATTGAGATTAGGTGGCAATATAAAAATTAGAACCACCTAACTATAATGAATATGAAATTTGGACGACTAAACAATGAACTATACGTCAATTATACGATTCCGAAAACAATTATTCTCGTAGGGGAGAGAAATAACATAGTTTTAATTAATTTCGATGATTAACCGAGGTTTCATAAACTTGCTAATTTCATAAAATAAATTTACATATATAATTTAATAATTACTTAAAAGGGCCAATGATAATTCCCCACTTGTCAAGTTGGAGATAAATAAACACCACACACCGACTTAAAGTAGCCCATAGAAAAAAGAACAGAATCAGATATTTATTGTTTATATAAAAATAGAAAAGAATAATACTAAAAGATACTCTTTAAACCTTATCCAATCTTCGCCACTTTCTCCCACTAATCCGCAAAATCAATCTTCTTCTCCTTCTTTCTCTCATTCACAATCCCGAGATTTCTCTCAAATCACAGATCCTTAGGGTTTTTCCACTGATTCAAGTTTTTTGTTTTTCCCTCAATCTGTATCATCATCATGGACAGTTGTCTCTCCAATCAAGCGGCGCTTCCATTTCTCCCGTCGCGTTTGAGGAGACAGAGCGGCGACGGAGGTGGCGGAGTTGGGTTTGTTATTCCGGCGAGAAGGAAGATCCGGTTTAGTTCGATGGTCGTTGTTGCGGCGACGGGACCTAGCCGGTGTGAGCCTGGAAGCAGTCTTAACGCGCCGCTTGAGCCGCGATCGGCGCAGGGGAGGTTTCTGAGAAGCGTTTTGCTAAACAAGCGGCAGCTTTTTCACTTCGCCGCTGCTGATGAGCTTAAGCAACTTTCCGATGACCGTGAAGCTGCCTTCGCTCGTATGTCTTTTAGCTCTGGTTCCGATGAGGCATCTCTTCACAGGTTCGTTGTAAACATAAATCCGTTCGAGTTGGAGTATACACAGAGACCTAAGTTAAGTTACTAAATACATATATGCTAATTTGTGTATTCACTGCGCAAGCTTGTATACTCAGATTATAAGTTGTTCGATTATTGTGTGTTGAATTGATCTGAGAAGTTTATGATGCTGTTTAAGCTGATTGGAGAATCGTACTAATTATATGGTTGATTTGAAACAGGAGAAGCCTATGATTATGATTTTCCAGTGTTTTCTCATGCTCTGCCTTGTGAAGCAAGTTTTGTTTTAGTGTTCGATAATATGCTGGTTAACCTAATTAAGCTCCTTTCATGTTTCATAACTGGTCCACTTTTGTGTTATATTCATTGTTGATTTAGTTTGTTTGCCAGTTTCAGTAAGTATAATTCATCTGTGTTAGTTTCTTGCTCTAGTTAACACTCTGTTTCCACTCATTGTCCTGTTTCTGCAGCTCGTTATCAAGTTTAAATTGCAGCTCGGACCATTCTATAGTCTGTTTGTTGATGTTTTGGCGAGCCCTAACTCCCTCATTTTCTCCATGGTTGGCAGAAGGATAGCTCAACTCAAGGAACGTTACTGCAAAACTGCAGTCCAAGACATTATGTACATGTTAATCTTCTACAAATACTCCGAGATAAGAGTCCCGCTAGTTCCAAAGCTCTCTAGATGCATCTACAATGGAAGGCTCGAGATCTGGCCTACAAAAGACTGGGAGTTAGAGTCAATTCACAGCTGCGAGGCCCTTGAGCTTATCAAAGAACACGTAAGCGCAGTCATCGGATTACGGGTTAATTCATGTGTGACTGACAATTGGGCGACAACACAGATACAGAAGCTGCATCTTGGCAAAGTATACGCTGCCTCGATCTTGTACGGTTACTTCATGAAATCTGCTTCCCTTAGGCACCAACTCGAGTGCTCCTTATCGGATCTCAATGGAAGCGGATATCTGAAAAGTCCCGTCTTTGGATGCTCTTTCACAACGGGAACTTCACAGATCTCCAACAAGCAGCAGCTGAGACATTACATCTCAGGGTTCGATCCCGAGACATTGCAGAGATGTGCGAAACCGAGGACAGTGGAAGCAATGAATCTGATAGAGAAGCAAAGTTTGGCCCTTTTTGGCGCGGAGGATCACAGCGAGACCATCGTGACATCGTTCTCGAGTCTGAAGCGGCTGGTTCTAGAGGCTGTGGCGTTTGGGACGTTTCTGTGGGACACAGAGTTGTATGTAGATGGTGCGTATAAGCTC